TGATGTATGAACTCACTCTAAAGTTGCTTCTGAATCAATAAACTTATTATTATTCATCAAAAAAAATTGCACCCCTGTGCAGAACCTTTTACTAGGACAAACAAAATCTTCTAAAAGAGGCATATTAGATTTTCCCCCCTCATACGCTTTAAATTCAGAGCCAAGTGAATAAGTGCAAAAAAATGGCATGAATAATGAATGGTAGAACTGACCCTAATTAAACCAGTGTTAAGTTAAGAAAAATAATAAGCATTTTAACCATTAGACTTCATAAAACCTAAGAATTAGACATGCTCACAGAGGAGAAATCGCATGCCTCAACTTTGCTGTGTTTTACAGTTACCCATGAATTTCAAGCATGACCAACATGTTTGCTACTGCAATGCATTATACATTGCAGCACATATCAGATACAAGGTTGGACAAATATTTATGCATCTTAACGCGTTCATAGAGACAGATAATATATAGTTTATACTGTAAGGCCTACCATATATTCTTCTTTCATTTCATGGATTGTATATATTCTTCTTTCATTTCCTTCTAGTAAACTCCAGCATGAGGACAAATGCATTATATTTTTTGCAGTATGGATTGGGTCCAAACATTTTGTAATGTGACTTTCTTCACAAAAGAAATCTTTAGTGTTCTTGTTGATATACTGCATGCTTATACATGTGTTTATGCTTCCATTTAAGGTACCATGTCCAACACTACATATTGCTTTCATAATGATACAGTCATATAAGTGTACAAATAATATATCATATAAGCCCACATGACTTCATTGATCTACCTCCAACCTCCCAAGTCTTCTCGAGAGGAAACTACTCGTGTATATCCCTCATACAAACACAAAAGAAAAGAAAGAAAGAGAAGGACTCAAATAGCTAAAAGTTTGAGGGGGGAGAGGGAGAGAGAGAGAGAGAGAGAGAGAGACCAAGAAAACTGAACTTATGTGGTCAGAATCAGATACACGAGTAGAAGTGCATTAAAAGAAAATAAAATATGTGAAGCTATGAGCCATATGAATGTAAAATCTCACCAATAACCTGGTAAGCTCTTCATTTTCATGACCAAATATAGCACATATATCTAACAACTTTGGCAAGTCGAGCAGCTTCTTTTCCTGCAAAAGGGCTACATGCCAAACAAATGAACAATAGCAGATCTGAAATTTTGGCACAGCATAGAAAAAAAAAACAAAAAACAAATCACGTCTTAAAACTTTTCAGCATAAAATTCACACAAGTCTCCCTGCCCCCAATACATACATATTTAAATGAATGGGTCTAGGCATGTCAACACTTGGCATGCATTAAGTTGTGATGAGAAAGAGAAGTTCGCACTTGACACTCTTAAGTAACATGTCATCTTTATATATTTGAATTGTTAATGTTTTTTTTTCCTCCTTTGATCATCAAGTTGCTAGTGTATTTTAATATTTTATCTATGACCATGTCCCTGTGCCATGATTTCTGGCAATTGCCAAGTCAAACAACTATGGACCCTGAACACCTCGCATCCATGCAACATACCAAGGTAACTCTAATGCCAACAAAAAGACCAGAGAAGCACAGATCGTAGTGGATACTGGATAGGGAAACTATACCTCCATGCTCCTTTGCACTGAGGCTATAACTGGCCCGGGCACCAGGGTCCCTATTAGAAGATCTGCCACACAAGGAATTTTCCCATGTAATCAAACATTAGAATAGTGAATATAAGCAAACCAGAAATACAGCAAAGGATCATAAAAAGGAAGTATGAAGTTACAGCTAAGACATACATGCGATAAAAGAGCATGAAGACACGGCGACTTAGCTCAAATTCTCCAACAATGACCCCTGCAACTGTTCCCTTGGCTCCATGATGAGGGAAGTCGTACCATCTATTTCGGAATTGCAGAAAACTATCCATAAAATGATGCAAAGAAGTGTTGCTGGCCACTAAAGGGAAAAACTAGAACAAGAAATAGTTAGATATCACAACATAATTACATATGCTTGCCAGTAAACAACAATGTGTTATTTGCATATAAAGAAAGAATAAAAAAAACAATATGGATTCCTTAACAAAGGAACCTATCATCTTTCCAAGAACAGAGTAGAAATAAAATCCTAATGAAAAATGAATTAAGCAATAACTCAATAAGTCTACTACACTGGGAATTCTAGAGCATTCAACAACAAAAACATTCTCATTGGGATGTATTAATTTGGTTATCAATTGAGTAACTGATTGGGTTTCAATTCTCAAAGCTTTCAAAGGCATTTTTGTCAATTATATCATAAAAACTACGTTACCATGTTGAAATCCTATATTCCCAGGCAGATGGTTGTGCAGTGAAGGGTCCCAAAGGGAGAAGGGTATGAATTCAACATCGATGCCCTTTGCCTTGGTCACCCGGTTCTTCCAACATTGATGGCATTTGCAAGAACAGTGACAAAGATATCATCTTTTGGCTATGATCCAGACTCCAGAGATGCAGGCTTTTATTGCCTATAAGGTTTGATTTGTTTACTGTACAGGGAGACTTGTCAATCATGATTGTGTGGCCTTCAAGATTTCATCATACATTCAAGGGAACTTGATCATCTCATTCAAAACTTTAGATGGTTTCTGGAGTTTGGTAATACGGTGACTTAAAGACTAGGAAGGCAGCGATTTCGAGGAATTTTTTGGTTAAAAGGGAAGAGATTTCAGGGTGATTTCAATTGTATCTTATTTCTTTGTGGAGCCCAGTCCTGGACTTTTCCCTTTTCACCTTTGGCTCTGCTCATTTGATCTTCTCTCCCTTGGGGAGAGTGAAGACTTTGCATCCTTATTAAATAGTTAAATACGCGGATGGCATTTACAAATAGATAATTAAATGATGAATTGACAAGAACATTTTGTCTTTTTCTTTTTTTTTATTGTTGTTTCCTTTCATTGGTACTGGTATCGGATGTATCTAACACTTAATCTAAACAATTGTGCCTAGACATGCAACTTATGAAAAGCTGAAGAGTTTCCACAACAACAGTAGAAAACATTAAGAGATGTTCTAGCTAAATCCCTGAAAGACAACACATATCACCCTTAAGGCTGCATTTAGAATTGGTGTAAATCAAGAATGGTGTAAAACTTTACACCAGTTCAATTTTGTCCCCGTTTGGAAGGAGAGTGTAATCATGATCGACATAAAACTCCACACCGGTTCAGTGTTGCATACGTTTGGATGGAGTGGAGTTTTACGTCGACAATTGATGTAAAACCTATCAAATGTAAAGTTTTTACATTGATTGTCAATGTAAATACTACATTGATTTTATTGATGTAAGACTTTACACTCTTCACCCATCACGTTTTTCAAAAAGCAACGGTCACTTTCTCGGTTCAGTGTAAAACGTCATCGGTATACTTTTACACCAATGACGTTTTACACTGATTCTAAACGCAGCCTAAATTTCTAAGTCCCGCCTCCAAAAAAAAAATGTAATATTCCTAACACTCCTATGTTTCCAATTACCACGAATTACACACCATTGTTCTTCTACGATATGTACATGAACACAAACACAACAACATCACACACTAGTTTCCAGTCACTATATCAACCATGTAATGATGACTCTCAACTCATTTGTAAATGCCCCCTAGACAGAACAATAAACCTTGCCAAACAGATTTATCCAAGAGAGGGATTCTAAACAGGGTGCAGATGATCAAGATTCCAATATTTGATTGCTATCTCTTTAAATTAGCAGCCCAGACCGACCAAGACCATTTAAGCAGTAATTGCTCAAAAATCATGATGAATCTACAAATAAATTCAACATCAGTTCCTTGCCACGAAACCAAAGCCTGGAACCAATTAGTCCAAATGTGATAGGTTGAAGATAAGCCATATAAAATTTGAATATCTCAATTAAACTAAGCTTTTAATAATAAAAGAGCAAGTCAATTGCAATAAACAGTTAAAACTTAAAAGAAAAAAGAAGAAGACAAACCAGAACTTCACAGAATTGCATCACTCGCTGAATAATTAAGCATACGATTAATAAGGATAAACTTTTCTAGAAGGATAAAAGAAAACCTTCTTTCCAGAAATCTCTTGGGCTCAACTTGAGCAACCGAGATAATTCTCTGTTGAGAAGGTCGACCACTCGCTGAGACTCGACGGGATTCAAACCACCATCCTCGACCCCGAGACCGGCGGCGACAGCCTCGTCTTGGGGCAAGTAATTTACGAAATTACCACCACGTTCTCTGCTAGAAGCCCAGTCACCGTTCTCTCCCAATCGAACCCTAGCCGTCGAACTGGGGTTGCTGCCACCGCCACCGATTGAAATCTCGGCATCATTTGATTTCCTCGGGGAAGACCGTCTCAGAGAAGTTGAGAGAGTAGAATTGGCGACGGGTTCTCTCGTCGAATTATTAGTTTTAGGGACGAATCTCTTCTGAATTTTGATGGCACCTTTGTTTCCATCATGTCTGTTGTGCGTCGATCGTGTAGCCATTTTTCTTTTCAAAGCCGAACTTGCAGCAAGGAGCTTAGTTCTCCTCCCACTGACAAAGTGATGCAGTAAACCAAACACGCGCGCCCGCACAAACAACACACTCCTTCCTTCCCCAGTTCCCTCTCTCTCGTCCCTCCCTCTCCTTATTGTTCCAATGTTCCTCCGTCAGCGGTGCCTAGTATAACTATGAACTATGATTCTATGAATCAGTAGTATGAGTTTACGCTGCCTACCAAAGAAAAAACACGAGTTCAGATTTGCGCCCCACATTCACATCTCAGCGTGCATGGGAGCATCTCCCGTACTTGTCGATGGGAGATGTTCTCGATACACGGTTGAGATTAGATATGGAATTCGTGTGGGGCGCGCTCCATTGGATGCAAATCTGAACTCGATAAAAAACGTGAATATGCAAATATGGGAGAGATAAAGGGAATTAGGACTCATCAAAAAATGGGACCCGTCATGTATGAGATGTGCGGTATGAAATCTTGTTGGTAGGGGGTTGGAACGTGTTTTGTTGGTAGGTACCTGGACTCAGTTAAAGGGATTGTTCGTTTCCTCTTAATTCTTATCCTTAGGAATATTACAACTTTAAGACAAAAATAATTGTTTTTCCTCTTATTTCTTATCTTTTAAAGTGGAATCTTATATTTTTTTGTTTTTCAATGATATCCCTAAAACCCAAAACTATTCTCCCTCTCTATATCTCAAGGGTCTCATATGCAACAATAATAATTATTAATTATAGTAATAATAATTATAATTATAATTTAATTAATCATAAATAATCAATTAATACTTATTATTATAATAATTAATCATTAATCTCTATTCATTTATTACTATTATTATTATTAAAAAATAATTAATACTTACTAAATATTATTAATTAATTAATAATAATAATTAATTATTAAATTTAATTCAGATTTTTAACTAATTATTATGATAATTAGTATAAACAATAAACTAGATATTAATCATTTTTATTAAAGTAATTATTATTAATTATTAAATAATAAAAATTAGTATTATTATTTATTAACAATAAATTATTAATTTTTAAATAATAATTAATATTTTTTAATTAATTACTATAATAATTAGTATTACTTATAACTTAAGTTTTAATTAAATATTATTTATTAATTATTAGTTGTTAATAATTATTAACTATTAATTAGTATTATTTAATAATTAATAATTATTATTAATTATTAAATAATAGTTATGATAATTAATTATTAATTATTAATTATTAGAATCCTTATTATTAAATATTAATTAATTATTAATCATTATAACACTTTTTATTTATTGAATTATAAAAAATAAATAATTAATTAATAATAATTATCATTGTTAATTCTAAATTATTAATTACAATTAATTATTAATTTATAAGAATTAATATAATTAATTAGTAATTATAATAATTAGTATTAGTAATAAATTAATTATTAATTAAAAATTAAATATTATTATTGTTATAGTAATTATAATTAAGTATTAATTTATAACAATTATTACAATTAATAATTAAAAATAAATATTAATTCATATTTTTTTAAATTTTTAATTAATTATTATTAGTTATAAATTAAATTTTAATCAGTTATTAATTGTTGACTATTATATTAATTAATAATTAATATTTATTATATATAATTATTAATTAACACAATTTATTTATTAATAATTATTATCTTTTATTAATTAATTATTAATCATTATAATAACTTTTAATATTATTTTTTATTGAATTCATAGACAAACAAAAAATCTCATATATGGGGTTAAAATGGACATTTGACAAATTTTAGAATAAATTTCTTAAACTACCCTTACTATTTAGATAATTGATAAACTCTACCCTTACTATTTATATACTATCTTAAAGTACCCTTACTGTTTCTGACAATTGACATCAGCGTTAAGTGCTAACGAAAAAACAAAATGTCTAATTTGCCCTCTACTATTCCTTAAATTTTCAAAATAAAACCCAATTAATGAAAATTTTTGGAATAGGAAGCAAATCGCTACTTCATCTCCATCTCTGTTTTCCGTCTCCATCTCCATTCTCTGTCACCATTGGTTCCCTTGTTTTTTCTCGTTCCAACTAATCACCACCACCATTGCAACTTCCAGCACCAAATGAACTGAAATCAAATCACTCGTGAGAATTACTGGAAACCGACGTTGGCAATTGGTTGGAGGTGCAGATATCTGGGGTTGTTGCAGGACTAGGGCCGCTGCTGCAGTTGCCATTGTTGATGTCAATTTGAATGTGGTGGCCGCTAGAACGAAGCCTTTTGGCGGACCTTGCCTAGTAAGAACCAAGAGTGAATATCAGTAGGATGGAGAGACAGGTGGAGGTAAGTATCCCGCGCAAAATTCAGGGCTGCACCCGAGAGTAGGTGTAGTTTGTTTGGTTTAAAACCAAACCGAATTTTTAGAAACCAAATTATGAAAAGTGGCAACCGAACCGAAATCAAATTTAGGTTAAATTGAACTGAATTTTTTTTGGTTAATTCGGTTTTTTCGATTAAAATCGAAAATTGCAAAAACTGAAGAAATTTGCAAAAGTCTTTAGGTCTTCTCAGTCAGTATGTGACTCTGTGTTCTATCAAAAACAGAGAAGAAGAAGAAGAAGAAGAAGAAGAAGAAGAAGAAGAAGAAGAAGAAGAAGAAGAAGAAGAAGAAGAAGAAGAATCAAGAATCAAGAATCAAGAAAGATGAGAGACACTAGACAGAGTCAACACAACACAGACTGCCTGAATGCCTGGGAGGCTGGGACTCTGGTCTTTGGACTTTTGGAGAAGAAAAAGAAGAAGAAGAAGATGGTTTCGGAGTAACTTGGCACTGGTGAGCCGGTGAAGAAGAATTGAACTGGCGATCTGGTTTGTGCCTGTGGACTGTGGTAGTGTGGTCTCTGCTAAACTGCTATGGAGTCTGGACTTTGGAGTCTCTATACTCTATAAGTGCAGAACTGCCGAAGGCCCGAAGCCAACTCTGTGGATTGTGGACGTCAAGACGTAGAGTGTGGAAGGAAGAAGACAAAGAGTCGAAGTCTTTCCTATTTTTTTTTCCACTGTTTTCGTGACTAACACGAAATTACTACTTATGTTTAGATTTTAGAAATTTAGATTTTAGTTTAGAAACTTTTAGAGTTTTAGTTTGAGTCTTTTACGTTATTGCTTAATAAGGAAATTTGGCATATAGCCAAATACGTCTCAGGTCTTTGAATTCAAAGTTTGATGTATATTTATTATTTATTAATTTATTAAATATTAATATAAAATAATAAATTATAATATTAATAATATATAATTATAAAACTAATTCGGTTAACTGATTTAGCAAACATGGTAACCAAAACCGAAAACCGAATAAAAAAACCAAACCGAACCGAACAACCAAATAAGCCGAACCAATTCATCTGAAACCGAAATTTCGGTTTAGTGTTTCGGTTTTAACTGAATTGTGCTCACCCCTACCTGAGAGGGTTTCATGTAGAAAATTGGGGTCTCACAGTCAAAAGTTTTTTTCTTCCTCTACTTCTTCTGAATCCAACGGAGGTCCTGTGGCCACCAGCATGAGCTATGAGAATGAGGTGCACCGGGAAGATGTGAAGTGGTTGTCACTGTCCATCAAAGAACCACCACATTGATCACAAAAAAAAATTACAACCTCCAATTGTTGACATCGCTGTATTTGATGGAATGGGATCTGCTCCTCACACATGGGCGCCTCACAGGTACATCCACCGTGCATTGGGAACATTTCCCGTGAATAATTACTTATAAGTACAGGAGATGTTCCCAATGCATGGTGGGATGTGCGTGTGAGGTCGGTGTGAGGCACCATGTGTGAGGATCATAATCCTCAAACCTCTCAAAGACTCTTTCAAACTTTTGAGTTGCATCCAACATTAGGTATGTTGAATTCCATCTAGTACTAACATATAAACACAACAAACTCTTACTTTGAATCTTTTCAACCTCAATAAATTCTTTAAATTTTTGCAACCTATCTGCAGATTGCCTCACATATCTCACAGCCTCCCGAACACAACTAATAGACTTACCCATTTCTTTCAAGCCATTATTCACAACTAGATTTATAATATGTGCAATGCACCTCATATGAAGCAATTTCCCATCTAGAATACAAGTTCCCCAATTAGAAATTTTCCTATTCAAGTATGTAATTGCAACATCATTTAAACTCGCATTGTCAATTGTAACAATAAAGACTTTATCAATCCCCCATTCAATCAAACATTTTTCCACCGCCTTCTCAATGGCCTCTCCTCTATGATTAAAAATTGGACAAAAGTTAAGAACCTTTTTATTCAATTTCCAATCATTATCAATAAAGTGGGCTATTAAACACATGTAGTTAATTCTTTGCAAAAAAGACCATGTGTTTGTAGTAAGACAAATCCTTTGGCATGAATTTTTTAGGAATTTCTTTAACTCCAATTTCTCATCTAGGTACAATTGGTAACAATCTCTAGCAATAGTCCGTCTAAATGGAATCCAAAACCTAGGACAAAAAGTGTCATAAACTTTTTAAAGCCCTTACCATCCACAAACTTGAATGGAAGCTCATCAACAATGAGCATCTGAGCTAAGCCCTTTCTAATGGCCTCTTGGTCAAACTTCCAATAACTAAGGGAACTCATCTTCCCAGTGTTTTCACCCTCCCCCTCCCTTAAGGCTGATTGCATATTTAACTGTGATTGTTTTGCCTCTAAGCTATAGGGGTTTTTCTTACATATGTTCATGTGGTTCCTTAATGAGCCTGTCCCATTTTTCTCAGGGTCACAACAAAAATCTCCATCATAGTAGTTGCACTTATCTTTTACTTCACCATTATCTGAGACAAATTTTGAAAAGTGGTCCTATACTTCGGACCTTGGCTTCATCGCTTTCTTTTTCCTTTAGCAACTACGTTCATCGAATCCATTTGGTTGGAAGGTCAGGACCGGTGGTGTGGACTTCCAATTTCAATAATATTGGTAGGAGTGTCTCTAGTTTGTTGTGACATCTAAAATCACAATTCACAAAGGATAAGATATACGTTAAAACTAACAAACAAATGGAATAAAATACTTGAACATCTACAATCATAATTCACTTAAGAAACAAAAAGAGAAATAGGTAAGAGCAAACTTACATTACACGATAAGGCAAATGATGCCATTGCTAAAAAATATAGCACACTAAATAAATACTCAAAGAATCCAAGTCTAAATCCCTATTAAGATACAAATAACAATTTACAAAAATTAACAAATACATAAAACATGGATTCGAATTAGATTTCCAACCAGGAAGTCATGGCTGCAAATAGATGGAATTGAATCCAAACGGGTAATAATTCATTAACTCAAAGAAATCCAAATTAGATTTCCAACAGATACATAATACATGGATTCAAATTCCATTTATTGTTTATGTATCCAAGTTTTTTATTCCATTGATTATTATTTGATTTAAAACTTAACAAATCTATATAAATCTACACAGTTATTATTTGATTTAACCTAGATTATGGCTAGGTTGATATTGGAATTCAACTTAAATGAATCATGTTCAAATCTCAGATTAAACTCCAATCCAAGTATTCAACCACTCATTTATTTGCTGGCAATGTACAACATAAATACAATGCAGAAAATATTTAAGTACAATTTGGAATCGATTACAAAGAATACAACAAATAATTTGAATGTTTGATCAAATAAATGAATACAGTATAAAATCTGCCAAATACAAATTCATGTTTACGTTCTCACTTAGTCATATTTTATAAATCTAAACATTTAAATGATTTTTATAAGAAGGTACCTGTAATTGGAGGTGAAGTGGTGAACCATAGCCTGGACCTAGAGCTGGAGAAAGATGCACTGATGCAGAACCTGGAGCCTAGAGCTGGAGGAGCATGTATGAATTTTTTATGTTACAGTTTTCTATTTTCCAATTAAATGAATTAAAATCAAACTACACGTATTCTATTCATTATTTTCTTGGCCCAGCTAATTGGTAAAATGGGATCCATTCAATCTTTCTCACATAGATAAGGAAAAGTCAAGGGCCCATTAACGATCTTGACCTTTAGTCTTCACTCTTTAAGCGGATTTAGAGAGAGAAAATCTTTGCAGAGTGCAGAGTGTAGACAAGGAAGAGTCGGGGAAGAAAGAAGAACTGAAGAAGGGAGCTTTTTTGTTGCCCAACCAAACCAAAATAATATTCTCTTATATCAAATTCAAAGCTTCGACGAGTTGGAGCAAGTCTTCTCAGTTAGTCTATGTTTTATCAAAAACAGAAAAGAAGAAGAAGAATAAGTTAGTTACGGAGTTACCTGTTGTCTGTTGTAAGCCAGTAAAGCTGTAACTGGCGGTGAGTTAATGAAGAAGAAGAAGAAGAACTGAAGAGAACTTAGAGAAGAGATTGAGGAAGACTAGAAATGGAAGAGTGGAAAGCCAAAAACTGAATTTGCTTCCAGTGGAAGCGAAAGTCTGCTTGAGTGCAATGCCTGGGGTTGGTGTGATGGCGTCTGAGTGCACTGGTATGTGGTCTCTGCTCTGGAGTCTATAAGCGTCAAACTGCCAAAGCCAACTATGGAAGAAAACGAATAGCCGAAGAGTTTTTTCCTGTTTTGAGTGTTTTCCACTTTTCGTGTCTAATACGAAATTCATTAGAAATTTAGATTTTACTCATTTTAGAAACTTTTAGTCTTTTTATGTTATTGCTTATTATGGAAATTTGGCATATAGACAAATACGATGTTTGGTCTTGGGTCTTCAATGTATATAAGTATATTTATTAATTTATTAAATATTAATATAAAATAATAAATTATAATATAAATAATATTAACAATATATAATTATAAAACTAATTCGTTTTTTTTTTCAGTTAACCAATTTAGCAAATATGGTAACCAAAACTAAAATATACAAAAATCGAACCCGACCGAAAAATCGAATAGGCTAAACCAAAACCGAAATTTTGGTTCGATTTTTCGGTTTTAACCGAATTATGCTCACCCCTACAATGTTGATCTTCAAGATGACACCGAGAATAAAGTTCATCGATTTTCACTTTGTAAGTTTTAAATCTTTTAAGTTTTATGTGCACTCCCTTTTTTAGGTTCAGACAAAAAAAGCTTACAAGTTTTAAAACTAGCTTCTAAGATTTATGTTCATTTCCTCTTCTCAAGTTCAAACCATAAACCTTGTAAGAATAAACTTTTTCAAATTGGGAAAGTTTGTAAGTTCAAATGGAAAAGCTTAACTTGCATAAAAATTTTATGTTCATTACCTCTTCCCATACTCAGTGTCAATCTTCATTTAACAAAGGTTGCTCTTCAAAGACATTTTTTTTTGCTAAAAATGAGCATTTGTTAAGATTATTATAATTTTTATTATGTTATCATTGTTAAGTTGATCATTAATTAATTCATAACAACTCTTTAATATATGATATTGTCAGGTCAGACATGATCCTAGTCCTTAGAACCAAATGGTCATAGATGATAAAGACCTACACCAAATAATCATCCGAACCAATGATCCTAGTTTATTCTTGTTAGAGTCCTATTCAATGATAACTGACTCTAGGAATTAATGATACAAAAACTTGTGGTTATAAAATAAAACATTAGCAACTAAAATCTTTTATAGTTTATGAAGTTGCCTTACAACCTATAAATAGACATCTAGAAGCCTAAATTAAAATATTAACAACTGAAACCTTTTTACAATCCAAAAAATTGATTATAACATACAAATGGACACTAATGTGTATTAAAATTTCAAGAGAGATTAGATCGTGCTACACTTAAATTTTATCTATCATAGTAGAAATTGGTTTGAATAGGAATGATCATAAAATTGTTAAGTACCTAATCGTAGGAGTTACTGCATATTTTTCTTTTTCTTTTCTATGACTTAGACCATATCCAATTTAACTAAAGCTTATTGTTTCTAACAATATATAGTCGTACCTCATTTTGGAATGGATTTTCTTCAATTATATATAATATGAATGTTTCTTATATTATATGCAAGTATTTAACTTGGATTAGATGCTATTGTCAATGTGTTTGGATTGTGTATTAATTAGATATTTGAGTCTGTATTCATATTATTATCAATGTGTTTGGATTTTGGTGTTAATTAAATATTACTTTCAATGTGCTTGAATTGCGTGTTAATTTAAGAATTATAATTTATAAGTAATGCTCATTTTCTTTTAAGAACTTCAAGTTGTATTTTAATTGAGTGTTGATTTGATGATTATAATTCAAGTGTAATCCTATATAGCCTTATGCTTATATTTGTACATTTTACCTCATTCATTCTATAATTTGTTTGATTGAAAATGATATGTATGTGATAGATAAATCAACTTAAACCAATTCAATCATTTCAAAATTATAATTTAAACCAACATAGAGCCACTTTATTTATCTTCTTTACCCTGTATAATTAGTTATAATAAGGAATTGATGATAATGATGATGACGCTTTGCATTTAGCTTAGTGTGACTTAAAAAACATGTACATATGGTATTCATGTACATTTATTAGAATCAATTTAATATTATAAGGTATATTTAATTTGATAATGATCTATAGGTAAAAAATAAGAATTATTATAAACAAAAGACATTTTAGTATATTGAGATAGACTTAAGTTATTATATTTTGCTTGTTTTACATAGTCCATTCCTATCCTATTCTACAAACATATGTAACATTTCAAAGTAATGCATGAAGATATAAATAATGAATTGGCCACTTAAAGTGAGACAAAGGAACGAACGTTGGTCGTAAATCAGTTAAAGGTTCACAATAAGCCAATCTCAACATTTAACAATGATGGTTGAAAAGATTTAGCAATTGTTAACAAATTTGCAATAACACAAGAGTTATTATAAATCCGTTCATGAATAAACCAATTGCTAGTAAGAGTGTTTGGGATTTCTTGATTATGGTAAAAGGTATTATACTTTATGTATGTTTATTTGAAGGATTTCAATTAATAAGATGCTAACATTAAACAAATACGTTTTATGCAAAAGTATAAGTGGATAAACCAAATAAAACAAAAATGTTGCATCTACCTAAAGGAGTTTGATAATATTCTCTAAAACTAGTGTTATAGGCAACACATCTATGGGTAATGTTGAAACCTCATTAGATGAGGATATGATCATGTCCCACAGAAATAGAATCTATTTGTTGACCTCTCTCCCAATGATGTCCATACGCCTTATGTATCCATACTTGAAACCCTTGTTGTTGAACCTAACATTGATACTCACCAACAATTTAACAAACTTATGAGTATTTGTTCACTTCCCACATCTCTTAGTAGAGTTCGGCAATAATAGGGTGGGATTGCTTGAAATTCAAATATAAATGGATCAATAAAGATAAAAAAGAGAAAAACAATGCTAGAAAGATATACATGCATCAAAATGCATGTAAGTTGTGAACGAGATTATAATGATTGCAGCTATTAGTGTTAGGTAAGTTTTGAAAATAGTTCAGATATTTAAAAAATATTATAAGAGATAGATTTTATGTCATTTACACTTGAATGCTAGATTGAGTTGAAACCTTTAGACATTGAGAACTTTGAGTTTTCTCTTTGTTTGTTGCTTTTACAAGTTTTTATTTGAAGATATAATAAACATATATATATATATATATTATGGTAACATTTTATATTATTGGACTTAGATATCTTGATAACGTAACTTTATGATAACTTTTTTTTTGTATCAAATGACTTCAAGGATATATATGTGTTTATGAAAAATTATTGATTAGTACCATGTATTTTGAGCCTACTGTCACTTTAGTCCCTGAACTTTAAAATGCAACAACTCAATACCTAAATTTTCAAATTATGCCGATTTAGTACCTACCATTAACCAACTATTAAGTGGCATTTGAAAATACACAAATGCCTTTGAGTGTCATCAAATTTTTTTATTAACCATCCAAATGTTGATAAAAAATGAATTGTCCCAAATCCTTACCTCTTCTATTAAAGAAAGTTGGGATCACTAAAATCACTAAAATGCCCACTGAGATGTGGCCCCAACTTTCTTGAATAGAAGAGGCAAAGATTTGTGAGTATTGTTCATTTTTTGTCAACGTTTGGATGGTTGATAAAAAATATTAGATGACACTTAGAGGGCATTTGTATTTGTTCAAGTGCCACTTAACTGTCAGTTAATGGTAGGCACTAAATTGGTACATTTTGAAAGTTTGGGTAGTGAATTGTCGCATTTTAAAGTTTGATGACTAAATTGGCAATAGGCCTAAGTGCATGGTATTATTCGAGAATTTCCCATTTATTTAATATGTTATCATGTTCTATTATACTTCATCTTTCAATTAGTGTTCCACTATGCATATGTACTCAATAATTCTATGGACATCTATGAAATAGAAGACATATATTTCGATAAATGTGATGAATATCATAATGAGATCTATGAACTTGTCTTTGTTAACGAAGTAGTGAGATACTACAACACAAATTTTGTTAAATAACCGTATTAGAATTCAGATTAGTTGAACACTTTAGCTGTTCAAAAGGTTGTGGAATCAATGATGAGGTTTTATGCCAATAATAAATTCATAGCCCCCACTGTAAAATACGTGGACCCATGTATTTAATACTGGCGTAGAACCTTATCATTGGTTCTACAACCCATTGAACAACTAAAACGTTCAGCTAAACCTTGGTCGCCATATTGCACATCATGGATGGATGGGCATTTATGATGGAGTATTTGTATGACTTGGAGCATCTTGATAAATCATATGTTGCATTTAGGGTGGAGGGACATGTATTTTAAAATTTTGTTAATTTATTGAGAGACTGTGAATTAGAAGTTAAAATATCACAATAGAGGAATTATTTGCTATTTTTCTTTTAAACATTAGTTATAATAAATCGTATGACTACAGATAGATTCCAACACTCCAAAAATACTTAAGTATTCACTTTATAAGGACTTGTTAATTAATTTATCGGCTTAGGTAATAGTTGATTTGACCATTATCTGTAGAAGTGCAACAAAATGTTAGACACTCAAAGAATTATTATCTATGAATTTAAGTATTTAATTGGTGTTGTATATATCTATATATTTTACGTGATATTTATACATTGACCATGTATATGTTCACATAGAATTGTATTGGGACAATTATTGATCATAAGCATATAAGTGCGTAGGTTGCTCTAGACGAGCAAATCCCATATGTGGGAGGAAGTTGCATTGCACCACAAATGTGTTTGTTGTGTATTTATTTAATATGCAATTTATTTTTGTTTACATGGATTATGAAGGATCTATTCATTACTTTATGATTTTTGCAAAAATTATTTTTCAATTACATTTACAATCTCATATTCTCTCACAGGTAACAAAATCCAATTTTTTAAATTTATATGTCTGTTTATTGACATCTAATGTACATGATTGCACATGGCTTTCTGTAATACTAGCAGATAAGGGCAACTTTTTGCCCTGAATATCAATAAAAAGTAATATTTTTATAAAATAACTAAAACAATATAATTTTTTTAGAAAAATATCAAGAAAGGGCAATGACACAATTCATTGTCTTCCTTTGCCTCTGTATTCATGCCAATACACTAGATTCGAAGCCTGGGTGGTTGCTCTCTCAAGAGTGCCTGAGGGGATTCGTTGTGATATCAAGATCGCCATGGATGCATATGCCAATTGCTGATCACATGTGGAGCCCCGTTGTAATATCAAGACCGTGAGAGGGGACTTTGATCTCTCCCTTATAAGAAGGAATGGTGGATATGATGCTGAGCGTGTGATATAATATGAGCAAAAACACACTAAGGGAGGGAAGGGGGCTCCTAATAGGAAATTTTTGAAGATGGTGGAAGCCACAGGAAATACTTAGGTGGGAAAAGTCAAATAGGAGGAATGTAGTTTGTTAGGAGGTCAAGTTGGGGCCAAGTTCGACGTTCTGTAAGAATCGCAAATGGAAAGGGGATGTTGATGAGCTAGGTAATTTTATGGTGGTGACAACAAGGAAGAAGGAAGTGCATTTTGTGTGTGAAGGTGGGGTTGAAACGGCTGAGTTGTGGGTTAGAGTTATTAAGATTGTGATCAATGCTGCTTTTAGTAAGAAATAGAGTGGTAGGTGACGAGTGAGGTTTTGTGGTCTAATCTATGTAAACAAGTTTTGAGAAAGCACTTCCATCTCGGAAGTATTTTGCAGTTCTTTTTACTGCCTTGCATTGTAAAAAGGTTTTTGAACAAATGATCGCCTGTTGCTGTAAAATATTTTCCTAGGTGAGAAGAGAATGAAGACGATGGACACAGAGCCACTACTCTTTCTTGATATTTTTCTAAAAAGGTTATCCTACTTTAGTTATTTTATAAAAATATTACTTTTTACGAAGAAGTATGGATAGGCCTAATGCAGATTTCTGAATCCCACTGCAGATCTATAAACATTCAAAATGTCAAATACCCATACTCTATGCACCAATGTCCGCCCATGAATTAGCATTAATTCCGAGCTGGCACCTACCCCAACATTACTTTGAGTCTACAAATTTTGACCCTGGGCTTTTTATTGATATTCAGGGCAAAAAGTTGCCCTTACATAGTCAGAACCCTTTTTTATATAATGACAATATATTTACCTAATTGACCCCAAAAGGGCCTTTTTTTTTTAATTTTTTGGTAGAAAACCTTCTTTTATCAAGTAGGGGTGTTCCCGGGTCGGGTTGGGTCGGTTTATTGGGGTTTTTCCAACCGACCCGACCTGGTCGGGTTACCTGAGGTGGAAACCGAAACCGGCCCACTGATAGGCCAAACCGACCTGGTTGGTTTGAGTCGGGTTGGGTCGGTTTCGGTTTTTCTCCTGTACAAAAGGACACCTAATTGAATTCTAATTGTAATTGCCTAATAGGTTGCCTATTTGGTGTAAAAGATTATAGAAAGTTAGAAACTAGGATATATTGCCTATTCTAATAGGTTGCTTATTCGGTTCGGGTCGAGTTGGTTTCGGTTTTCACACAAGAAAACCAAAACCGATCCGATATATCGATTTATATATTTTCTCAACCCGAAATCAACCGATATTAATGAAAACCCAGCCGATTCGGGTTGGGTTGGTCCGGATTGGTCAGGTTGGACATTCTTATGAAGAGCCTTATCATCAAGCACACTGCACACGTCGTTTGCTAACGTAAAAAAGTAGATTATTAGATGACCAGACCAATAGTTAAATATGCCCAAAGCTCAATTTGTATCTTTCAAATTTCTCCCGCCATTCTTGCCGAAAGACAAAAAATTCTCCCGCCACAATTTATAAATGGGCCCATTGAAAATGGATCAAGTTATTTTTATTTTTTGACAGGAAAAGAAGAATGGAATTGGACATAACAACACGTCAAACTTCACAATAATGGTCCTTTCCAAGAAATTAAAAACAAAAAACTACTTACTATGGAATGAAATGTGAGTGCAGGAGGCTGAACTCTGGAGGAGACTAGGCCTATAGCGTAACAGTGCAACACTCAACAGGTAACGGAACACTGTATGTGTTTGGCACAAGTTCACTCTCTTTTATTTATTTTTTTGGATTATTTTCCGCGAAAAATACATCGAAGTGCTTGTACAGACTACAGACAAAAATTTTCTCGTGACCAGACCGTGGACCTGCTTTTTTGCAGGAAAGCGAAGCTCGGTACGACGAGAGAGAGAGAGAGAGCGCGCGAAATGGCGACATCTCTCTATTTCTCTCTCGCATGGTCTGTCGGGCCTTGAGATACACACTTCCCAGTTTCCATACCCTCTTTTCTGTCAACACGCGTCCCGACGTCCACAATCCATCCGTCCAAAGTCGCCATTGAAAAATGTTTTCCCTTCTCTCAGAGTTGCAGATGGAGGTTTGTTTTTGGAGGTTTCTTGAGCATCTCGTTTTTCCTTTTCCATAGTTCCTTCTTCCCCCCCCCCCCNATACCCCCCCCGTTTCTGTTCTTCGTCCCGTCGTCCAAGTTGTTGAAGATGGGTTGGTTTCTCCACCTTCTTTTATTCTGTCTCTTGGGTCTTACTGGTAAGTAAGCGTAAGCGAGACTCAAAACCCATTTTTTTCTTGGTTTTTTGTCTTTGTTCCATTGCATTTTTGTAACAACCATTTTATTTGTTCACATTTATTGCAGATGCAGGTCAAGAATCTGTTAACCCATTGAATATTTATGATCCAACTCCCGCGGTTCTTCAGACTTTGGCTCACGCGGGTTTGCCTGTGTCCATTTCCGTGAGTGAGGGTGATCTTCGCCAAGTTTCTTCCAGTGTTTTAATAGCTGAAAGCTGGGTCAGAGCCCACGTTCTCGCTCACTTTCCTTCTACCAAGATAACCAACATTGTGGTTGGAAATACCGTTCTCTGCAGCAAGGACCATGAGGAGATGTGGGGTTTGGTCCTTCCTTCTGTGAAAAATGTCTACCACTCTCTTGTGAGGTGGGGTTTAGAGAAAGAAATCAAAGTCTCGGCTGCTTTTTCTACCGACTGCCTGCATCCACGTTCCACCAAGTTTAGAGATGACCTAATCCAGAGACTGATTAAACCCCTTCTTGACTTCCTCCAGAACTCCAGCTCTACTTATACTATCAACCCACCTCCGGGTTTCTCTCTTTCCCTGTCAAATGATGCTAACTTGGTGTCTGCTCACATGGAATCCATGAAAAAACTCGGGGTTTTCCACCTTAACAACATCAATGTAATCGTCCCAGCTCCAGAAGAAAAGAAACTCATGAGCAGAAAGTTGTCAGTCATACATTCCTCGGCTGTAGGCCCATTCCCAGCAAGACCAACCCCATTACCAGAGATCCCACCATCATCAATCCACTCCTCTGTTGGTTTCTCTGTTCCTGCACACACATCCAAAAGCTCACTTCCTCCTCCCCCTTTAGCCGGTTGGGCTTCTTCTCCCCCTTCGATGTCCTTCTCTTTTGCACCGGAAGGGCCTCCGGTCGTTATCCCCTCGAACCCACCTGATCTTGCTCCATTGCCCCCTTGTAACGCGATAGACATTGGAGCGCCGACACCGGAAACAGGGGAGAAGGGGCTATGGTGTGTAGCAAAGCCTAGTGTCCCAACAGAGACGCTGCAGGAGGCCATGGACTATGCTTGTGGGGAAGGTGGTGCTGACTGTGATGAGATTATGCCTAACGGAAATTGCTACTATCCTGATACGGCTGTTGCACATGCATCTTACGCTTTCAATAGCTACTGGCAGAAGAACAAGAACAATGGAGGAAGTTGTAGTTTTGGAGGGACTGCCATGATCATTAGTTCTGATCCAAGTATGGTTCACTTAACAGTCTCCTCTCTTTTTTATTTCCTTGTTCATTTGTATTTCTGGAGAGTAATCCGAATGATTTACCGATTTATATGCAGGCTTTCTTCACTGTCGATTCATTCTCAGCTAAGGAGGTGGTTGAAAGTTCAAAACATTTTGAAGGTTCGTTGGTACCCTTCTTTGTTATGTGGTCAGCAAAGGATTAACTTACAGTTGCAGAGTATTTGAAAATTTGACCATTTTATCGATTTCCAAGAGAAACCCTCCGGTGCATAGAGAATATATTTGTTTACTCCATTATGTGGTGTTGTATATCAAATTTGGTTGTGAGGGTTTGCATGTTACAACTTAGAACTTAAAACTTCTTGTTTTTCGCTAGTTTGCATGTTAAACAAAATCCGCATTTATAGACTCGACTGGTTTTGTTGCATTTTTTTTTTTTTTTAACATTCAAGACTCGTTATTTAGAGTCTAATATAGGTGGATCGTGCTTGACTCATCCGGTCAGTAGCTCCTACAAACAACTGAATCAAGCCGTCTCAATTCCCGAAGGGTCCTACGACGGTGCTCATTAAAAAAGGTACCCAAATTAAAAACGATGGTCAGACGGGAAGCAATCTCATATCAGAGCCAGGTTTCGATCCTGGGACCTGTGGGTTATGGGCCCACCACGCTTCCGCTGCGCCACTCTGATTTGTTGGTTGCATTAATCAAATTAAGTAATATGGGCTTTACAAAATTAATAAAAAGGTGAGTAAAAAATAAACGTTCCCTTTTATATTGTAAAAGGTAGACGATTTTGTTTCAACATGTATATATTGCCAATGATAAGGTTTTTAAAATCGAATTGGTCGTTTAGGGGTCTGGTTAAAAGAAATAAAAAAATTAAAAAATGGCAAAAAAATGTTGGGCGGTTTGAACTCTTAGGTCATTGGTTTGTTAATGAAATCAACTTTTTTGGCCAAAAAGATGGTTTTGGGGTAAAATGAAACTGGTTAGGCAGGGGTGAGCATTATTTGGTTAAAACTGAAAATTTTGGTTTTGGCCTTTTCGGTTTTTGGGTAATTCGTTTCAGTTAGTTTGGTTTTTAGGAATTTTGGTTTTTAGAGCTAGAAATTTGGTTAATTGAAAAAATCAAATTAACTGAAATTCATTATAAAATATGAATATATAATATGTTATATATTTATATATTAATATATTATAATGGAATTCAATTTCATAATATATTTATATATATATATATTAAATTTGGTTTTTAATTAAAATAACTGAAAATTTCAGTTTTGATTATTTTGGTTTTTTGTAATTTGGTTTTCATCTTTTTGTTTTGGTTTTTAAAATTTTGATTTATTCGATTTGGTTTTTAATTGAATAAATTGAATGTTCACCCCTACTCATTCGATATTTGTTTTTATTAGGTGACTGATTCCTTGTTTTTCTTGTTCAATCGTCTGGTCCAGTTTGTTTTTGAAAATCATGCCAATGATAAAGAATCTCATAAACTCTCTACTCATTCGATATTTGATTGAGCTCGGATTTGCTTGTTGCCATGCTGTCTTATGTGTTCATAACTAGTCAAGAGTGAGCACGTAAGTGTTCTTTGTATTATTCGGAAGGTCTACATGGCTAGATTTTCTATGCCTCCAAAAAGGGTTTAGCTGTTCCACTCTCACCATTGGGTCAGGCCTAGAGGTGAGCAAGAAAAACCGAAAAATTGAATCGAATTGAAAAACTGATTGAAATTGAATAAAAAATTCAATTAACTGAACCAGTTAGTTTGGTTTTGGTTTGATATTTTTAAACAATTAAAAGTATCGGTTTGGTTTTGGTTAATCAATATAGAAAATTGGTGGTTAATCGAATTGATTGGTATATATATATTTCTATATATTATAAATTAATAAATATGCATTATATATATAAATATACATTTATAATATATAATATATTATTTATTATTTAAAATATATTATTATATATATTTTTAGTTTTTATTATATATTTATATATATTTTTATAATATATTGTAAAAACAAAAAACCAACAAACTGAATTATGGTTAACTATACTGGTCAACCAAATAACCAATCAATTTTAATTTGGTTTTGGTTATTGGTTTTCCCTAAATTGGTAGTACTGATTCGGTCTCAAAAATAGGCCCATAGTTCAGTTAACTGAACTGTGAGCACCCCTAGCCAGCCAATGATAACTAATTTCATAAACTCCCTACCCTTACGATATTTGATTAGAGTCCGGATCTACTCCTCATGAAGTGCGCCTCACACTGCCCTCACAGAATGTACTAACCGCACATTGGGAATCTCTAGATATTCCCAATATAGGGTGGGATGTGACTGTAAGGTCAATGTGAGGCGCACTCTGTAAGGAGTAAATCCCAATTCATTTGATTTGAGCCCGGATGTGCTTCTTGCCGTGCTGTTTAATGGGCTGTATTGTGTGTAACCAATCAAGAGTGAGGACGTCAGTGTTTTTTTGGGGTTAACTTTTTTGGCTGTTGGGACCCAACAGCATATGCTGTTGAGACAATTTTTAGACTGGACACGTACTAGGTATTCACGCCCATACTTTGATATTTAGTAAAAATAAATTAATATGTAATTACGAATTTAACCATTCTCAGAATAACGCGGCATTCTTAAAAATTCTCTCAACAGGAGAGGCTGTTGGTTTTTCCACTTTTTTGTATTATCAGGAAGGTCTAGTGGCAAGATTTTCTATGCCCGTTCCATTCTCACCATATGGCTTTAATACCAAGTATCCAATTCACAAGTACGCATGATTACCTAATTGATTTAACAAACGAAATCATTAATTGCTAATCATCAAGACCTGTTGCATGGGATTGGGATGGATTATGGATTCCATTCTTAATTATAGTGATTTTAGTTGCAGTAACTTTAATGAGTAAAGATTTTCCCACATTGATCGATGGATATCTTTGCAAAATGTTCAGTGGTGATGTGGAAAGTATGGAAGGCTCAATGTAATTTATTGGTCTTCAGAAATGGGCCCTTTTGACATTACTACAATTGTAAATAGAATCCATGCACAGATAGATGACATGTTGGGATCCATTTCTCTGGACGGTAATGATCATGGAACAATTACGAGTGTTGGTCATTTTTTGGCGGGCCCCTCCGAGGCCCTGAAATTAATTTTGATGGTGCAGCATCAATCATCACTAAAGCACGTACGGGCTCGGATCCTTGATCATTGTTAGAGATCATTTTGGATCTTTCATCAATTGCTCATGTGGTCGCTTTTCCAAGATCATTTGCAGTGGAGATTGAAGCATTAGATTTTTTATTTATTTATTTATTATTTTTTTTCCTGCAAAAAGCATTAGCATTGTTGGAGGGTATGAAACTTGCTCTCGAACTCTACCTTTCCCATGTTATTATCGAGGGAGATGCTCTTATAGGGATTAGCTAGTCAGGACCTGTGCGATGTACAGGCTTTATTTATAAACAAAAATGAAGATGAAGTTCTATAGCATTTGCAATTAAATGGTGTAAATTCAGTTCAAGTATTATTTTTTGAGGTTATGGTTAATTTAGCCAATCACAATCTAAGTTGTGCTTTAGTGAAAGTGGCCAATTTCCTTTTTTCTAGATAAGCTTGTATTTTTTTTTTGGTATCTTAATGTTATTTATTATTAATTTTTTTGAAAAAGAAATTATTATTATTTTTAAGTAAATTTATATAAAAAACCTCTTATAACAATTCTATAAACCACCTTTGCGTTTTGACTCTAATAAAGGCCTTTCCTATAGTTTTGAGAAAAAAAAAGTGCAAATACCTCATTTCCCTTGGCTTTTTGGCAACAAAGACATTAAAGTTCCAAAATACACTTATGACTTATCATTGTTAATGCATTACACATAATTTAAAGTTTCAACCTTACCTTTCACTAGGGGTGTCAATCGACCGGTTTTGGTTTGGATCCAATCTGATCCAAACCTTATCAAATCGGATTTGGATGATCCATTATAATTATTGGATTGGGTCAATCCAAAATAAATTGGTCCATATTCTTATTGGTTTGAATTCGAGCTAAACCAAATTTCCAATAATCCAATCATGAGGCCAAACCCTTGTCCAATTTGAAATCAATCAAAACTGAAAACAACATAAAATCACTTTTATAAAAGTACTTTTACGAAAACATTTTTATAAAAGAACTTTTATAAAAGTAATTGTATGAAAATTATTTTTACGAAAACACTTTTATAAAAATATTTTTATGAAAGCATTTTTACAAAAGTACTTTTGTGAAAGCACTTTTACAAAAGTAGTTTTATAAAAGCACTTTTACGAAAGCACTTTTATAAAAGTACTTTTACACGAAAGCACTTTTATGAAATCACTTTTACAGAAGTACTTTTATGAAAGCACTTTTATAAAAGCACTTTTATAAAAACATGTCTACGAAAGTACTTTTACGGAAGTGCTTTTATAAAAATACTTTTACAAAAGCACTTCTACAAAAGTACTTTTATAAAAGTCTATGGAAGTACTTTTTGAAAAGTGCTTTCCAAAATACTTTCAATAAAGTGCTTTTGTAAAAGCACTTTTATGAAAATATTTTTATCAAAGTACTTTTACAAAAGTGCTTTTATAGAATTTTTGATATTTCATTTGGTTTGGATTGGATTTGATTTGTATTGGATTGGGTCTAGTTCATTTATAAGTGGACTCACATTGGACTGGATTGGGTTGGACCAAATCCGTTCAATTGACACCTCAGTCTTTCACTAATTTATTTTTCTAGAAAACTTTCAAAGAATAATTCTCTTTACTCTTCTTGGACAAAGTAATGTAAAAAGACTGAAGTGAAGTAAAATTCAACAATTTTATTTGGAATGCTAATAAAAGGAAGGTATTTGCACCTTTATTCAAAACAATAGGGGAGGTTTTTGTTAAGGTCAAGTTTCATAGGATTATTAGAAAATTCAAGGAGGTTTTTATAATTTTCCTTATTTTTAAATGGGAAATTAAATTGATTTAAAAATAATTAAACCATATTTAAAATTAATATTTGTTATTAATTTTTGAAATTAGTAAAAATTGAATTTATTTAAGTATATTAAGTTTTTATTAAAATTAAATTCCTTAAGAAATTTAATTAACTCTACAAATTTTTATTTTTTAGTGGAACTTAAGTTGATTTTAAATTAATAAAATTTAATTATAATCTAATAATTTTTTGATAATTTTGTATTACTTTTATATTAATTTTAAATTGATATTAGTTTTTAATTTATCTTATTCCTTTTATTAATTAAATTATTTTTATTATATTAATAAAACATTTTTATTTATAATTAATAATTATTTTTATTATGGTTAATTAATTTCTATTATTTTTAAATGGAACATAAATGCATTA